TCTCTCTCTCTCTCTCTCTCGTCCTTCCTCTCAAATAACAAAGGCACTGATTTACCATGGTTAACACTGTTAAAGTCTCATTTTGGTTAATATGCTAGGAATTAGGAAACGGATAGAAGAAGGGGATATACTAATAGCATTTAAACGTTTTTCTATCGACACTCCAAATCGGAACTTGATGTTACTCACCGTGTATGATTTCAGCTTTACACATAACATTGTAACTTATACACATATTTTTTATATATATTTAATAAAAAGAACGAGTAAGCAATCGTTGTATTTAATTCCGACCATCTTGATAAAGACGTATAGTTTCGTTCAGAGGATGCTTTAACATCTTTAATGTTCCATATTTACCGTAAGAATATCATCTCTTGATTTAGTCTATTATTTTTAATAATATAAAGAAAATGTTATCCCTTTCAACAGAATAAATATCATAATTAAAAATCTTAATTTTCATAGTAAGGATTTGTGAAATTGTCATGATTATTTATATATTCTTCTCTCGACAACATATTTTTTCAAACAAGAAACATTCGGATAATAAAATAATAATAAATGTGGAATTTGTTGAACTTCAAGATTTATAAAGGAGATTTAAAATAATACGACGAGAATTGGAAGTGTTAAATGTGTCTCAATAGAACAAGTAATTTTTCCAAATAAATCGAAAATTATCCTATCGAATTTTATACTTCTGTTTCTTGAATATACTTGACGAATCACTAGCGAGATTAATTAATTCGATAATGAACGGTGGAAAGACACACGAGAACCCATGAGTGTTGTTGATAATTGTCTCTATTAAGTACGATAAAATAATCATAATAATTTAGTACTCTCCCCAGCTCTCTTCTTTACACTCTCGTTACCTAAATTCCAAATCGTTAAACGCAAGTGCATTCAAAATCGAGGTTCGAACGATAAAATATCCACGTTTATTGCCACGCTACATATACGTATCATCGTATGCTACATAGAGTATTAAAAACTATGAAAGTAGAAGCTTACGTGAGTAAAAGAAAAAAAAAAAAAAAAAAAAAAAAAGACAAAAAAGAAAGGAAAGGAAAGAAACGATCTTTCTGCTATTTTTATGCTACATTTACAGCAAGAATTTCGTTCAGTCATCTGAAACAGACGGGGAAGTAAGGAGATCGTGCTTATACACATGTAAAATAGCCAACCGGAGGAGGCATTGAAAGAAAAAAAAAGCTTCGTACGCTTATTGGAAACAAGGTACTTCGATTAACATCGTCTTTTTTTTTTTTCTTCTTTTAAATAAACATTTTTCACAAGGTATTCTAAATTATCGCCGTAAAATATATATATATATATATATATATCTCTAAATATATATGTTTCATTTACATTAATTGTAAGGTTTTCAATTTCGAAGTGCGCGTTATAAATAAGATGACTAAATTGTTACTCTGAAAAAAAAAAACAAAATGGACGTCGTTTCTGTAATCGTCGCCGAGAAGAGATAGCGAGAAACGATGCAGCTTTCATTTCGTTCTCTCGTTAAGTAGTCTGTCACGTAGCATTGCTACTAAGAAACCGATACATCATTTAATCCTCTACAGAAAATTGTTCGATCTATTCTTGACGGTGAAATATGCAGATATGCTCTAAATATACAGTGCTATGCTGCACCATGAGTGCATAGGTGGATAAAAATAGTTCAACAATAATGCCGCTGCTTTCGACGATTCGGCAAACGACCGAACATCGGTCACGTCGATCGTCGATGATCCTGTAAATTAAATACAAATCGCGTAGAATTTCTAGAATCGTGAGAACTGAATGATATATCCAAATATACGAAATATCCAAAGTAGATCATCTATTACAATCAGAATGTTTATACATTTTTGGAACTTTACGATCCAGTAATTATTAATATATTTATATGCACGTCCATTATTATTAGATTGCGGATTCATATTCTGTGAGTATAGTTAAAAAATTGGATATGATAAGTAGAAAATTGTTATGCGTTACTGGATATTGCAGAAAGCACTACATTCTGGATTTTATATGTCTTTTTCATATTATTTAATTTCCTACAAATGTTCTGAATCTTCGTTTATTGTTATAATATTTAGTAAATGAAAAAAATTGGTGTGTAAAGATATAAAAACGTCCGCAGTCTAATTGTAATATATAATGGAATAAATAATTTCTTTTAGATTGCATCTCTCCTTATCTATGTTCATGAAAATACAAAACATGCATAAAAATTCGCGACCTAGTGATAAAATTTCTTAATCTTCGAAAATTCTTTACGCCTTCCATCGCGTTGATCACGTTAATCGTGAACTTCGCGTGCACGTCGAAGTTCAAAGAGATTCGATGTTTTGCTCGATTGTCGCTCGATGTTGGATCGAGTGAAAGATTACGAAGTATAGTTGCGATAATATCGGTAAAAAATTACAATTTCAAGTTACAACGCGTTTTGTATTACATAGCTCGCCATACGTCGTGGTCTGCAATGCTTTGCTACATTATTTTCGTCACCTTAAATCAAGCACAGTGACAGGTGCTCGGTTGTTTGTAATAAATAACTCTAACTGAAGTGCACAATTATTTCTAACGGGGGATCGGTTAAATCTTAATGCTCTATATTCATTTTACTCTGTACTGAAAGTACCGAAATACTTTTCACTCTATATATAATATACGTATACATATATCATACACGTCGTGGCCACAAGATTTTATGCACTTAAAAATATCGGTTCAGAGTAATGTTCATTAAAATTTTTGGAATCACGACGGAATAAAAAAGAAACTACAGTATCATTTACCTGGAGATTAACTGAATCTTTCATCGATTCAATTTACTAGTCCGAACGTGAGTTTTCATTACGTGAATGGAAAATAATAGATAGGTGAGGTGATAAATTTCTATCATACACAAATTATACATACTTTGTTCTCCAATAAGTTCAAATAAACAGAGCACTAATGTAAGATTATTATCCATTCGAAACGTAAAACGTTAAAAAATGAAAATAAGAATAAAATGAAAAGATCTAAGAGTAAGTTTGAAAACGAGTTCAGATAAACGGATTTTTACTTATTATTATCCATTCGAGTGGGATAAAAAAGAAATAAATAAATTAACGATATCATTCGTGATAAGAGAATCTTCAAGAATCAAGTTTGAAAATGTTTTAAACGAACGAGAACTGAATGAAAAACGGGAAGTAACAAGCTATTATCAATTCTTTACCGTCTTTCAACCACACCTGGTGATCAAGAGCATTAGCACCGGAAGTGTATACAGAAATGTGTATAAGCACCGGATTTTTCGTAGACACTAGCAGACTAATTTTTTTTCTACAGCCGTAAGGGATAGATCGTCAAAAAGATGATCTAGAACAGAGCTGTCCACGGGAGAGATCTTTGCTATAAAGTCGAAGATTGTTCACTATAATAGACGCTACAAATATTAAGTACTCAAGGATATTTCTTTTGTTTCTAATCCTTTGATCTTTCAGAAATGGCTTTGACTTCTTCATAAATTTAAATTACATTAATAATAGTTAGACAGATTTAAAAATCATTTTCGTAGCTTTGGCAGTGAATGATCACATATTGGTTATATAATTACGAGATTTAGCATTGTCGAAATAACTTCTAATAAAGTCAGAACAGTGCACAGACATCATTTCTGAAGGATTAATCGGAAATGATGAGTCGACTTATCACGAAACTTTAAAGATTTTCCAACCTTTTAATGACCAGTTAACTCGCCATTTTCGATTAAAGGATTCACTAACACAAACACTATCTACTCCTTTTCGATCGTACGTACATTTATGTATTTACGTATTTGCTACATTGCAACACAAACTTTTATCAATAAATTAATATTTAAAAAACAGATATACACAAAATTTGTGTTTAATACGTTTTTACCTACCTCTTACCTCCGCCTATCTTCTGCAACATATTGAACTTCATTCTTCATCATAGTATTCAATGCTTGAGTATTCAATGCTTGGAATGCCCAGTATAATAACAAGCACAAGATTCGATTCTTTCATATCGATTAACATTAATTCTCAGATGAACTACTTTAGAACCACGTCACAATCACAAAACTATGGTTGAAACTGTCGAATGGAATTACTCATGTCCCACTTTTTAATTGTCGTTTAATCCTTATTTGTCTCTTATGTTAATTCGATACAATTTCTCTTGTAGAGGTATATTTTTGACATATAACACATAATGTATATTATTGACATTTTTTGGTAAAAAAATATGCCGCCAGAGTTGCAAATAATATTTTTTTTTCTAGGCTCTTGATAAACAATACGCTGCCTTCTGATTGTTATATTATGTTACAAGTATACATTCAATTGTGACAAGTCGGAAACAAATGATCATAATGTTGGACAAAACTACAGAAAATAAAATCACGATATGAAATTAATTTATACGCGAGAGTAAGATCTGTGCGAATCTTACATGTAATTGAATGCAAAAATTTAGTCTGTCATTATTAAATTTTTTTTTTTATCAATCATTTTGTCAATTTTGACACCAAGAGATAAATCAAGCTGGGACAAACGAGGAACGGATTGGGGTTAAAATCCGTATCGATGACAAGAAACCATGTTACAAGCTTTGCACTAAAATAAATTTCGAACACGCGGCATGTCTCGTGGATCACCTGGCTAATAATGTAAGCAAGAATAGTGTTTCCTCGCTTGCCTAACAATACAAGTAATAATAGTGTCCCTTCTTCGAAATTCACTTCGGCATCAACTATTGGTGGTGTAGGTTTTCCTCCGATACGAATTTCAAGCCGAACCACTAAAAAGTGACGCATGAGTAGTTGATCCCACTGACGATCTCACACCGTTTCGTAGTTCTAAAGTGATCTCTCTGACAGCCAGTTGCGGAAGATGCGGTTTGTTTGATCGATTAGGTAATTAAAAGCAGCGCGTTCGCACGATTCCGTATCTTCATCGAAAATATTGTCCATCCTTCTATTTACAGTCTGATAAAATAAATACATTCATCATTATAGTTTGGTATTAACATCGTCGCAAAAAAACAAAAAAAAAAAGAAAAAATCAACATACGACGAAAATACAGAAAGACACGTGAATGCTTGCTTCGGCATTCGATTATCGAATCGATTGAAAAACCGTATCGTCTGCGCTGAAATTCTTCGGCATCCCCCTACAGACAGCTCCGATCTAGCCGAAACACTAGCTACTGTAACAAGTCTTGCGCACGTCGGCAAGTATTACACTGAAATCGTCGTCCGCTTTGGAAACGTGCTCGATACTCTGCGACTGTTGGCCCTGTTGAGTCTGTTGCTGCTGCTGTTGTTGCTGCTGTTGATGCTCCGGGTATTTGGTCACGTCCATAGCCTGGTGATACTGATCCATCGCGTGGCCTATGGCCACGTTCGAGCATCGAGCGTCTTTCGTCTGATCGTCGACGATACACTGAGAGTTCGACATGTCCAGCTGCGTTTGCTGCGGTGTGTAGTAACGCAGATCGCTGGCGTAATTGTGATTGCTGTCGAGGAGATTCTGCGAGGTGAGGCTGGTGTGCGCCACGCTGGCCGAGTGCGAATATTTGAAGTACTTCTCCAGCTGTAACGTCTGTTGCTGCTCGTCCTCGGCGGTGGTTGCCATCGCTACCTCCATGTGACCCAGAATCGGATGTTGTTGCCCGGCGCTCGTTCCCTCCGTTTGGTACTCTTGATGATGACTCATTTGGTACCGGTGCGATACACCTGAAAATAAATCGGAGAAGAGAATAGCCCCGGTCTCCTTCGGCGCGTGACCACGTCGCGAATAAAGGGGCTATTATACGAAGGAGAAAGCCAAGAGATTTCGGGATGCTCGAGTTACCACGGACAAGTGGTAATACGTACTTGCGATACGTCTCGGCCGGCGTTGTAATTAATACCAATAGCAATAGATAGATTTTGTTGTTGATCGATGATCAGGGAATACTGTCACGTGTTAGTATAGAAAAAGTGCATTTTTCATAAATCAAGGGGGTATTTTATTTTTAGTTATTTCATTCTATTTATTTTATCCTGTACGAAAATTTTGTATAATTTCTTTCCTCCAGTATTTTGCACGTGTGTATATAATATTTGATAACGTTAATATACTTTTTTCAGGAATAAATAATAAAAACTTTTGTCATGCTTCTCACGAATTCTATAACTCCAATTTTCGATTAAGAAATCC